TTTAAATAGAAAAAAACGTTCTATTGTGTTAGACCGCCTACTCATCAAGGATCCAAACACCTCTACAAACCATTTCATAATTAATCCAGATGAGATCAAAAGCGCTACCATCAATCATTTCCAAAACTTTGCACTCCCTTCTTCACCTGCTCCACCAATGTCTTCTAGATAGACTGACCAATTTCACCCTAGAGATTATATTAACGAATCTCACTACTCAACTTAATGCAACCACCTACATATGATGAATGGATTGCCGTTCTCAAATCACTTCCTAATAACAAAGCTGCCGGTCCTTCAGGAATCTCTAACGAAATGCTTTTCCATCTAGGTGACAAACTTCAAAATCTCCTGTGAAAACTTATCTGTATGTGTTTCACCTTAGGCGACATCCCTAATGAATGGAAAATCGCCTATATTTATCCTATTCTAAAGCCTATAGAATGGGAATGTGATATAACAAAAACCAGACCTATCACATTGTTGGAAACATGTCGAAAAGGTTTTGTCAAAATCATTACTAACAGACTCTCCACAATACTTGCCAAACACAACATCCTACGTGGTGGAAATTTTGCTGATCTACCTGGTGAATCAACTGAAGCACCTATCAAAATTGTCAATATGTTGCTCGAAGACGCTATAGAAAACAAAAAAGAAATTTGGATTTTACTTCAAGATCTCTCTAAAGCCTATGACAGAGTAGACTTGAAGTTTCTTCGTCTAGCTCTCAATCGCATCAAAATTCCTCAATTAGCTACTGATCTTCTGATCAATCTTTTCACTGTAAGAAAAAATGCTGTTTTTACAGCACATGGAACTTCAGATTACTATGACGTAAAAATTGGTATCAATCAAGGAGAAGTTATATCACCCTTACTCTGATGTATCTATTTAGATTCTCTTCTTTGTGAAGTTGTCTCACTAAATAAAGGATACACTATTAATCACACTTGGATCTCAGATTTGACTAATATGGCCACCAGTTCTCTAACTGCTAGTGTCTCTTCACTCGTTTTTATGAATGACACTAATTGGATTACTAGTTCAAAATAAGATTTAGAATCTATACTTGAAATCACTGAAGAATTCTATGATCTTACCAGATCAGCACTCAACAAAGACAAATCCAAACTATTGACTACTAAATCTTTAGATAACACAAAAATTCCTTTCAAATTTGAATTATTTACAATCGACATTATACCAGAAACTGGATTTATCCGCTTTCTTGAAGTCTGGATCAACAGTAGCCGCTCTTTAAAATTCGTCAAACAACAACTTACTTTTGATATAAATCGTTTTGTTTCCTTAATATGTTACAAACTGTTAACTGATAAACAAATCTCATACATTATTAATATGGTACTTTGTCCACTATTAGAATATCGAATGCAACTAACATCCTTATCTTAACAAAAATATATGATGCTCTTTGCACCTGTGCATTCATTATTTAAGAAAAAGAACAAATTTGCATCTACTCTTCCAAATGTTCTCTTAAATTTCAAACAATTCTACAATTTGAATGATCTCTGATCATTACAAATTAAATCTCTCTCTACCGCTCTTTTATATCAGTTCACTAATTCTACAACTTACAAAAATGTATCTGTTATAAGACTCTTTCAACTCCAATCTCAACACTTCTTGCCACCTCACCCCTTGATTTTTGATTACGGCTATTTGATAGACTTTCTTATAAAAATCTTATAGGCGCCTTCTTGTCACTTATCAAATCCACTTCGTCTAAATTTTCACTTATTGCTTTTCCGTTTCTCATTAATCAAGTCAAAGGAGGATCCTATTCTCTTGCAAAACTTTTTCCTTATAGACTTTACATGTCATTTAAAAAGATCTTGGCTAATCACAACCTAGTTTATTTAGATCAACTAATCTCTGTTTCAGATTACCAGCTGATCACAAAAGCTGACTTTCTACTTAGAGACTTTAAACATCACTCTAAATACTTTAGATCACAAACCCTATTCAAACAATTAGCAGATATTGTTTTAGAAGACAATATTCAACGACTTCTCAAACCAGAATTTAGATTAATCTCTTCTTTACCATGATATGGCTTTGTAACTAATTTACCTCTCTCAAATGATCGTAAAAAGAAATTTATCGCTTCATGAAATTCAACAATCAATAATCCCTCATTTGGTCAAATTATCATAAAAAACCCAACTGATAATCAATTTGTTTGTCAACACTTTATTGCTCTATAAATATTGATAATGTTAGCCAACTTTTCAAATGTACTGGTTGCAACCTCTTTTCTGCTAACATCCGTTTTGGCACTTATACATTCATAATTCCCATAAATAGAGTTTTTAAAGTTGATTTGTTTCAAAAGCAATCTCACACCCTTAAAAATCAATTACAACAGTTACCTGCTGAAATCTCAAGAGTAGCTTATCTCTCTTACTTCATCTTCTATTTCAAGCAATAACCTCTTGACCCACCATCAAACATCTTAATTGACACATTATTTCTCCCTTTCTCAACATTAATTGAACTTAAATCCTTACGAATGACACTTGCTGACAATACATTCCTGACATTTTACACTGATGGTTCTTTAGTTTCTCCAAAAACAGAATCATGCAAAATGGGACTAGGATGGATTTGTATTAATTCATCCAATAATCATCACACATTCAAAGCTTCACTGACGAATTGGTCTTCATCAAGTGCTGAAATGTACGTTCTCCTTACTACTCTTTTAGTTTACCACAGTCTTCTTCTGTTTAACATTTTTTTAGACAGTCAAGTTACAATCCAAGGATTCTCCAAATATATTTTAAACAATGACCTTTCTTCCAAAAAATTTGAGAAGATATCCAACCACTCTATTTGGCATCTTATTAAACATACAATGGATACAATGAAACTTAACATACAATTTTATAAAGTCAAAGCACATATCGGTGATTACTTTAATGATATCGCAGACTAACTAGCCAAAGCTGAATATAATGCCTATCCCATTATTTCAGTATTGAACAATATTCTTTTATCTGAACTTGTCTTTACTTTTAATAACATACCAATTGAAATATCTATTCGAAGTTTCTTCAAACAAATTTTTTCTGCCAAGACTTTCTGCAACTTTCTTGATCT